AGACTTCTAACATATTCCTCCTTAGCCCTGGTCCAGTCTACAAATGTATGTTGATATAACTGTATTGCACCTTAGTGATGCAGTTATACTGACCTTACTCCTGGTGTAGACAGTGCTATACAGGCAGTCCCCGACTTACGTCGGATCCGCACTTACGAACGGGGCTTTCTCGCCCTGGAGGTCGAGGTGGCGGATTGCTACCTGCGAGCTCCAGGGCGAGAAAGCCCCGTTCGTAAGTGCGGATCCGACGTAAGTCGGGGACTGCCTGTATAGCACTGTCTACACCAGGAGTAAGGTCAGTATAACTGCATCACTAAGGTGCAATACAGTTATATCAACATACATTTGTAGACTGGACCAGGGCTAAGGAGGAATATGTTAGAAGTCTATAAAATCATGAAGGGCATTGAGAAAGTGAATAAGGAAATATTATTTACCCCTATACATAATACAAAAAAGTCATCCAATGAAATTAATAGGCATCACATTTGAAACAAACATAAGGAAGTACTTCACATAAAATAGTCAACGTATGGAACTCTTTGCCACAGGATGTTGTAAAGGCCAAAAGGATAATTGGGTTAAAACGAATTAGATATGTTCATGGAGATTAAGGACATCAGACTTCCAGAAGCTGAGACTGGACAATGGGGGAGGGACCACTCAATATGTAGTGGATTACAGATCAGTATGGTTTACAGCTGGAAAATTAGATGAAATGATAATTTAAAACAGAAAAAATAAACACCTGAAAAATCATGATATCAAGGGGATTAACAACTTGAGCTGAGCAAAATAATTGTTGGTGGCTGAACAAAAAAGTCTGCAAAAAAAAAAATTTCAAGTTGACCTAAAACAGAATTTTTATTATTTTTCTGCTAATATGAAAAAGTGAATACAGTTTTTTAAATTATTAAATGTATTTATTTTTGTATTGATGGAAGGGCTTCCCCTATTGTCACAGTTACACCTTTGGGAGATGAGGTACCCACACCAAAAGGAGCAGGTAGCATCTTTACTAAGCACTGTATCTGCTCTGGTGCAGCCCTAGAAGTATAGCTAAGCCCTTAGTTGTCTCCTTTTTTAAAATCGAACCATCTCAGCCTTTTAAATCTCCATTGAGATAGAGGCTGCTCCATATCTCTAATCATTTTTGTTGACTTTCTCTGTACTTCTTTCCAGTTTCAAGATATCTTTTTGAGATGGCTAGACCAGAACTGAATGCAGTATTTAAGATGCAAGGATTTAACATTGATTTATATAATGACATTTTTTCTGTCTTATTATCTATCCCTTTCTTAATGATTCCTTACATTGTGTTATTTTTTGACGGATGCTCATGAAACAGATGTTTTCAGAGAAATAGCCATGATGACCAGAAGATCTCATTCTTGAAAGAAAAAAAACAAGAAAAGAGAGAAAAATTTATTCTTAGTTAAATATACTGGTAAAAGACTACCTCTATTGAAATTATCATCATCTTAACTCATTGTATTTCTTGATATGCAAACTGGAGATAACATTTATATTTATATAGCCACTTGAGATCTGTGCTAAGTATTATTATTTATTAATAATTTAAGACTTCTGATTAGCTGCTTCCTTCAACTTATGACAGAGAATTCTGTCTCAAGTGACAATCATGTAAAATTAACTGAAGATTTAAAATCAAAAGCTGAGGATAACTTGCTGCTTACTTCTATAAAATATTGAGATATTCTGGTCACATGGCTGAAATGAAATTTAGTTGTCTACTTTGGTAGAAACTTGTGAATAGTGATTTAAAGTTAAATGGTATTCAAATTAGAAGGCAAAATAAATTTAAAATCTGTATATTTTACTCCTACTCTGTATATTTTACTTCTACTTAGGCTGCTGCAATAAAAAAAGATAACTCAAGGGTGTCTGGTGTTCAAGATGCCACAAATTTTGCCTGAAATGATCAAAGCTTGTTTTATTAGGCAAAAGTCACCAACTTGTGTCTCAGAGCTGGAGACTAGTGGAATAACTTGGTTAACTCTTTATAATGACACAGCAGATTTGACACGTTAGTTCAGCTTAGAATAGGCTATGACCATCTATTCTACCAGGTAGATATTTACAGTAGATTCCACAGTAACAGAAACTATATATAAAAATGGCATCACTGAATTGACTAAAAGGAAGCTCCATTTCAGATACTGACAACTACTGCTAGTGAGTCACTGATGTTGCCCTGAGGCTTACATGATTTACAGAAATTCCATTAGGTGAGACTGGGAGTAGAACGGATGTTAAATTTAACAGAGCAAAAATTTAACCTCTGCTCTTTCCTCCCAAATGTTCTCTATTCTCTTTCCTCTGTCACTGCTAACACTGCTGTTGTCTCTGTAACTGAAATCTTTAATGTGGGAATCATCTTTGAAGCTTCCCTGTCCTTTATCCTACAAATCCAGACTGTGTTCAGTTCTTGCCTCTTCTTTCTCCAAGATACTTCTACAATGTGACTCTTTCTGTCCACACAGTTAGACTTCTTGTCCAGATCCTCTTAATTTTCTGCCTTTATTACTATAACCTCCCTGTCTCTGGGCTCCCATACTCTGGTCCCTGGAAATCTCTAATCTCTTTAAAGTGCAGCTGCTAAAATCCGTGTGCATGGACTAGATGATCTTGGAAGTCCTTGACAATCTTGTCTGCAGGAGACTGATGTGTAAGATAATAAACTCCAACATTATAATAGATCATGATGGAACACATGGTCACAAACAGAGGCAAAAAAGAAGAGGTAGAGTGGGGAGGTGAGTGGTTAAGAAGGTGATGGGGGCAGCATTGTTCAGTTTCTCCAGGTCAAATTACAGAAGGGGCCCTTGTGGTCACCTGGTCTGACTCCCTGTGTAACACTGGTCATAAAACTTTTCCTCGTATAACTCCTAGGACATGCTTTTTAAAAAAAAAATCCGATCTTAATGTAAAAGTTGCCTGTGATGGATCCTTCACCACAACCCTTAGCAATTTTGTTTGCACGGTTCATTGCCCTCGATGTCAAAGCTATCTGTCGCACATTGTATAACACAAGAGCAGCCGGCCTGGCCGCCTTCATATGGCTGTGGGGTCCCACTGGACCGAAGCTCCCTTTCGGGAGGCACCCCCAGGATCCCGTCACTTTCCAGCTGCTCGCTTCTCCAGCCTGACTCCTCAGCAAATACACAAACAGCCCTTTCCCAGCCAGCTGGCTCCTGCCTCCCTGCCAGCACCTCTCCCCGACTCGGGTGGGC